ATCATATCATTCATATGACTTGACACCTGGTGTCATCTGTGATATGTCCGAATTACGAGGTAGCTGATGCTTGATGGGCGTTTAGAAGTTGGAAGATAACAGAACAACGTATGTCATGGATTTACAACTTCTTTACTATTTACAACACGACGTTTCTGATTCACCTGATGAAGGGGCGAGAAGTAGCCCAGAAATGTCGTGTTGTATATCATAAAGAAGTTGTAAATCCATACCATACGTTGTTATGTTACGAGGTAGCTCCTTGCCAAGACTACAGAGGAACTGAGATGCGACACACTGAATTCAGAAAACAAAGGCTTAAACAACATCACTCTGATTGATACCTTTTGTAGCTAATCACTGGGTTGGGTTTATCTAGATTAGATAGGTTTGCGTTTTGTTTATGTCATTTTCACAACCCTATGGATTGTATTTTTTAAATGAAATCATTTTCGTCATCCAAGGGAGATAAATGTTTCTTGGCGTTAGACGAAGCTCATTACACTCCAAGGTGACATTCTATCACATGATTTGGTGTTCTTTTCTGGAAAACCATAATGGTTTCTGAGGCCTCGAAGGCAGGTGTTCGTGAAATAACGAGCAGTGTGACTAGACCAAACTAACAAGATTTTTCTAAAACCTTTTCTGAGGCCTCTCTAGACCAAACTAACAACTCAATCACTCTAAGCTGGCTGTTGAAATACTTCAGATGGCACGTGCGGTGGATCCAGCGAGGACATATTGGCTGAATGGATCACTGCAGGATCTATCACCATGGTGACTGTAGTGTTTGCTGCCACTTGCATTGTGCTGTGTTTCAAATTAGGAAAGAAAAGGTAAATTTGTGACACTTTTTCTGACGTCTGCACTTCTTAAGAGTGGAAATGTTAAGCGGGTGGTTGTCTGGTCTTTTAAAGTGAACTTTGCTGGCCAATTGTGTCTCGCTTCTTGTAAATTCCGTGCAGTTCGAACATCTGTTTGTTTACTTTTCTTCCACCATTTTAACACACCCCATCTCTGGTCCAAATGTAAACTTTTATTCCAAAAATTTACAATGAATGCATTCCATGTGACTATAACCTTTGCCTCTGAGGAGGCAATAGTTTGACACGTGACGTTGGCCCACCTCTATGAATGGGCAGTAAAGGATTTTGTGACCAAACGCTCGATACACGCATGTTATGGCCAAGCAGCACTTGCCCAGTCGTGTACCATATAGGCCCAAGTACCAATTCAAAAATAAACCTACTTGTGTGGTGCATCACCTGCACAGGTATCGCCAGCCTTACTTGGTATGTATGGAGTGTACGAGAATAACTGGCCCTACCTGGAACCGTGTAGTTTGATGACAATAACTGTTCCTACTTTGAAACGTTTGGACTGTAGACAAATTTCACTGATTTTACACTCTACCTGTTGCATCGATAGGGCGTGTTCAATTTACAACAGGCAACTTTTAGCTTTTGTTAATTGTTGTTGTTATTGTTGCTGCTGTTGTTGTTATGCAGAAACATTCAACAATAATAACTATGTTCTCTTTACCAGGGTTGGGAAATCTTTGGCCCGCAGTGTCACTAACAGCTAGGGCTAGGACGGGCCTATGTGGAGAGAGATCATGGAACTTGCAAGCCAGGTGTTTGCTGAAACGAAAGGCTCTGGTAAAGTTTGCCATCATGGCGTAATTGTTGGTGGCGACTTTGTCATGTCTGGATGGAGGATTTCAAATATAGTGACTTTCTGTGAACATCAAAATGGGATCTGCTGTTCAGTATTGATGGTTTCTAATATTCCTTCACGTAGTTAGCTTTTCGTGGTTGTGATATACAATAAATGGCAACTCTATACCACAGAAGTGTTTTGGGTAGCCATCATCACCAAGAACTCACAGTGGTGGTCAGCCAGTACCGTACCCGTGCTCTTCAAACACACCACCAGCATTAATTTGACATGATATGCATGCCATAGTGCCAAGCGACACCCAACCAAACTCATCCATTCACTGGTAATGCATTTGACATATTTGAAACCATTTAAGGGTGGAAAAGTTTGCACAATGCCATACTTGGTGAAACTGGTAGGTATGATATGTTTATATTAACTCCAAATAGATGTATTAAGTATTGGATTAAGTTGCTGCAAATGAATGTTTACCCATTCAATTTGACATGATGAAAATGCATGCCATAGTGCCAAAGCGAACAACCCAACCAAACTCATCTCATTTGTGTGGATATTCATGTTGGTAATGCAAATGTGTTTATAGTGAAGTTTGACGATTGTTTTCCACTTAATTTGTAACTCGCACATGACTGTAAGCTGCATGCCTGAATGTTATATTTTACAATATGATAAGCTTCAAGTTTGTAAATTTAGAATTTATCCCTACATAATTTTAGAATTTTTTACTTACAGGAGAAATAAAGACAGTGGGAAAATTAGTTGTATCTGTAAAAGTTGTAATCTTGGTGCGACTTGAAGATGAATACCATGTTTTATGCAATGTACAAAATATAATGAAATTCCAAGCGAAAAGTACTTGGCCACAGCTGAATGCCATGCCTCAATGTGAACAAAGCATGATAAATGTATTACACTCCAAAGATTCTAATATTATTAAATCAGTTGCTCTGTTTTTTAAACATCTGTTTAAACATTATATATGAAACTATCACGTGGCATTGTAAAATAATGCATTTGACAGTTTTCCATGCGAGAATTTAACTGGCTGCTTGGCCATCTTAACAGGCACACATCTGACATTGCTGGAACGTTCAACTTACAATGCACTGCTAGGTAGCACCTCTGACACAACTTTGTTCAAACGAAGATCAGTAAGTTAAAACTTCCACATTTCTTAACTAGCGTTAAGTGCAAAAACTCTCCAAACTTCTTGTATTGATTAAGAAATGTTTCACGTTTATCACTCGTCTCGTTTACATCATAACAGAAAGGAGGCTATTGCGGTTTAGGTAATATTGACCAACTCACTTCATCTTCAAAGTCTACCGATTTAGCCTGACGGTCTTGTGAAAGTAGAGCGTCAATAATCGACGCAAGCGTTCAGTGTGCAGTTTAGTCTAGTGAAAGGCATGTTTGTGTACTGTTTCTACGTTCACAAATGGTTTCAGGCCATTGTACGGCCTGTTACCAACTTGATGTCCATGTGTTGCACCGCTGTTATCTTGTTCAAAGATTGTTTTGCTTTCTTTGTTTGGGTTTTTATGTTTTTTCTTGGTGTGGGGGGATGGATTGTTTGTGTTGTTGTTTGCTTATGGGGTTGCTTTTTTGTTGTTGTTGTGGGGTTTTATTGGTGGTCCTATATATTTAAGAAAGTCAGATATTAAAAGAGTGCGGGAATGCAGACTGTTGGTTAGGGTTCTATAATCAACCTTTTGACTACATTGCTTTTGTGTCTAAAGTTTAGGTCGTAACTCAGTTTGTAATACATCGACTCACTACACATTATCTACAGCTCTGCTATTGTGAAAATATAAACATCGTCGCACGTTCCCCTCAAATTTTCGGTATATATCCATAACCACTTTGAACAGAGGTAAGTTAAGCAAAACTTGGTGTGGGTTTCCTGGACGATTCAGTCGAAGGTAGTGATGCGCTGGCTGCTCACAAATCATTCGGGGACTGTCTTCAATATTTCGTACCTTAACTATATGTTACGATCTTACGACTCTTGGCACTGCCTTCAAGTTAATGTGGAACGTGGCATCCTTTCATGTATTTCTCATATATTCTGTACTACTGTTTGGAATTCTGTAGTTTAACACCACGCAGTTTTGTGACTATTATAGAATGAATGAACGCCCACTGGGGTGATGTGTAGAATATTGAACTATTGCATTACGTTGTGTACATTAGTATGTGTATCGTGATTCATGTAGTCTCGTGTGTAACAGATCTACATGTGGTGTTTATGTACTTGATAGCTGATTGTATTGTTAACATACTCTAATTATTAATTCTGAACCATATTACTATTATTGACTAATTATGTAAACTTTCATCCTGTGACTGCTGTGTAATAAACTTCTCGTTTATTTACTCAGGCGTTGTGTTGTGTGTGGATTAGTATGGTCAACCTCTTGCCAAACTAGCTGATTCCTCAACACTAATATGAACGTTGCTACATCTGCAGCCATAATCTAACGTTGTCTGGCCTGAGGTGCGTCAGAATGGTCAAGACGGTGTTCGGCAATACACGTGAAGCGTGTGAATATCATCTCTCACCTTACAAGAAGATGTGAAGATCACTTTTCAGGCCGGAAACCTTTTGTTAGAACTTGACCTCTGTTGTAGCTGAAAATGTTATCAGTGTTTCTATTGCTACACTCACGGTGTTGTATCATTTTGCCATTGTGTTTATACTGCCATTAAATTTGTTATGCGACTCATTTTTGTACTGTCATTGAATTTATAATGCCGCATAATGTTGTACCGCCCTTGTAATTTCCTTGGGAAAATATGTATTGATTTGGAAAAATGGTTGATTTTAGAACATGTGTAACATTTCCTTGTTTTGTTTTGGTTTCACACCTAAATATTTCACGGACAGATTTCTAATCATCTTTTTGTTTCAAATTAGAATCATTATTGATCACATATTGATATTCACTTTAGAGACAGCCCAAAGGCGATCACTTGTATATGTGATTCATCCAGTCAGTAATGATTATTCTGAATATACTATGCAGTGGCTCGTCGCTGAAATGGCAAGATTGAAATGGGTCGGTGTATGTAATGTTTAACCCATAAAATGCGTATAAGATCACTTATCTTACCAGTTACCACACCTTTGTACCGAGAGGAATGATGATGAGTATATAATAGCAAAAGTAAACAAAGCTCTGTCCTTTTCTGTTGCTCTTCTACCATATCCCACGTTTGTTGTTTGCTTGTTTGTTTATTGGTGGTTTAACGCCTCACTCAGCAATAATTCAGCCATAATAAAAAATCAGCATGAGGCAGAATAAAAATGTAACTACATATAAAACCATGTCTTTATTAATACACAAATGCAGAAATAATGTACACAACCTGGCAAAGCTCTGTTTGCCGAAATCTCTGAATATTGTTGAAAAACAATATTGTATATCGTTACCACACTGTTTACGAACTATTATTTATCACAACCTCACCTGTAAATATTTTAAAGTCCTTAAAATACGAACGTTGTATCCGACATCACTGAATACGAGTAATGCACCTTAGTGGTGACGTCATCTCAGTGCAGATTGCTGGACTATTGCTTAAAGCGGCGTAAAACCAAACTCACTCTCACTCATTCATCTCAGTGCTGTATACGGGATTGCTTCGTTTAGCAGGTACAAATACTTGAATCCGATCAAGTATAAAGCTTAGAGCGGTAGATTGGGGGGATAGGTAGAAAATAACGCATAGAGCATATTCGCACAATTTGATCTGCCACCCCTCAGATGTACTGCTATCTGTCCTCGGTCACACTGCTATCGGTCCTGTCCCTGTCCCTCCTGAGGTCTTTCAGTCGCCCCCCCCCCCCCCTTGTCCGTGTTGACCTCACTCGACCTGGAAGCAGGTCATCCTCGAGGCGATGTGGGTGTTTGGGCTGGGGTTGGTGGTGACGACAACGAGGCTGAACCTCTCCGTGGCGTAGTAGGCGGAGTTGTGGTACTCCTTCTCGTCCTCGGGCTGGACAAGGGTCAGATACCTGGGAACACATGTCAGGATGTCAAGACTCTCGCCTTTAACAGATTGGGTTTACCGCATGTTTCACAGAGACTTCACGGAAACAAATTACACCATCGCCAGAAATTAACCAGTCTCGGTTATCCGCCAAAACATATTCCATAACAGGCAGAGAATGAAAAGTATAGATGAAATCTATTTGGATGGGTCACTGAAAACCATTGATGACAACGGGTGTTTGCTGAAAGTGTCTGCGATTCTTGCCGGACATATGCACCACGCACACAATTAAATGGTGAGCGGTCTGGTCTGGGTTTCCGTCTTACCTTTCATCCTCCAGGAGAGTCTTGTCCAGAAGGGAATCCAGCAAGTTCGTCTCGACATCATTGAGCTTCTCCACCTCCCCCATGTCACGTGACCCCATGTCCAGCACCAGTGGCTTGCCGAACCTGAACACGTGACAAGTTGGTCAGCAATGTAACTTTTGATTCCACCCTTGAAAATCCGGGTTAGAATTGGTCTTCAGTCAACCCACGCTTGTCGTAAAAGGCGACTAACGGGATCGGGTGGTCAAGCTCGCTGACTTGGTGGACACATGTCATCGTATCTCAATTGCGCTGATCGATGTTCATGATGTTGGTCACTGGATTGTCTGGTCCTGACTCGATAATTAAAGACTGCCGCCATTTAGCTGTTATATTGCTAGTGCGGCGTAAAACAACAACCAAACCAAACCGAAAAAGTAATTATTCGTTCGCCTCTGAGTAAGTGAGTGAGTTCGGTTTTACGCTGCTTTAAACAGTATTTAGCGTTTCTGGCGCTGTTACTGAATGACCCACCTGAGTGCACCTATGAGCGCCACCCTCAGTTTGTCCACACTCAGGTCACCAGGAAGCTCAGCCTGCAGGACGTTGGCATCGCGGTATTTGAAGAAGGTGGACACGTTTCCCTGGAGATCGATCACCAGCGGCCATCTGAAACATGGGTCAACATTCTGTCTCAGGAACACAGAAGAAACAAAACACATCCCAATGGACGTTTTGTTGACGGTATGAAAACACACCAGAAATTAAATAGAAAATCATTCCTTCCACAGAAAACCAGCAATCTCCCAAATTATGAAATACGTAAAAACATCTCAAGTGGGAATATCACATAAATTGCAATCACCTTCTCCCCATACATTTTGCATAACAACAAGGACACGGCACATTTCCAATTGGGCCTGACACAGTAAATGATTACACGCTGCGCGATTTAACATATTACCTTCCGTGAAATGATAGCGGATTCATCAAGGTCCATTTCACATACCTGAAATTATTACCGGTGCATAACCCGCCATACGAAGCTGACAACAAATTATGTAATTTAGTGATGTAATCTTTCTCAAGGGTACTGTGTGAAATGTTCCTTATGTGTCTATTCACAAATATAGGCACTTCGTCATAACTCGATAGGACAACAGTCGCGCAGTATCTTACTTCTTAGGGTCCTGCTTGTTCGCCTCCTCCGCCAGTGTACTGAGCCCCTTAAGACTAATTGTCGTTACGGGCGGCATCTGAGGAGGGTCGGCTGCTGCCCCACCTGAAGACAAAGTGAAAGTAGCGTTTGAAGGACAAAATAAGAAATAGTTCCACGAAGAAAACAAACAGAGCTACCGATTGTCCTAGGGGACAAGGTAAGGTCAGTAAACAGGTTCGTTATATTATAAACCGTCGTATCATCTGTTTGATTGTATTTTGGAAGCGTCAGTAAGAAAGGAGGGATATTTGACGGTATAAGAATATCTACCGAAACGTCGCATCATAATATTATAAAAGAGTTGTCATCAATAAAGTAGCCCGCCTTTCTTGTTATAAACGACTAAACTGGACCGCAAGAGTGAGTGAGTTCGGTTTTAAGCCGCTTTTAGCATTATTCCAGCAATATCACGGCGGGGACACCATAAATGGGCTTCACACATTGTCCCCAAGTCGGAAATCGAACCCGGGTACTAAGCGTGATGAGCGAACGCTTTAACCACTAGGCTACCCAACCGCCCCTTAGAGCAAGAGGCAGGGACCGAAGGAAGTTCGTCACATCCGCCAGTTCGTATAAGCGTGTTCGGTACAAACGTAGTTTACTGTAACTGATCAAATTGTGTTAGTTCGTTCTTACACGTCTTGGTATATTCCATCTGTATGCCGAGAAACCCTCTATACACTGAGACATGGTAAATCACTAGATGAATGTATATGTACAAAGGGCGGTGGGGTAGCCTGGTGGTTAAAGCGTTCGCTCGTCACGCCGAAGACCCGGGGTTCGAGTCCCCACATGGGTTCAATGTGAGAAGCCCATTTCTGTTGTCCCACTCCGTGATATTGCTGGAATATTGCTAAAAGCGGCGTAAAACCATACTCACTCACTCACTATATGTACAATGTGTCTTACCTGATTAAACGCGATATACTAATCTCACCTTTTTTGGCTATCTGCTTTCTTCTCCGGGCTTTTAGCAGTGGTGCCTTTTGAGGATGTAGGTTTTGAAGACGTTTTCGAGGTGGCGACTTTCTTAGGCGGCATGTTTACGTTTTGACAAGACGTACAACTGTGAACCCGCTGACAGCCTATTATCGAGCCCAGGGTCGTAACCATAGCTGCCAGCAAACAATGGTATCGGATTTAACACGCTACAATGCACAACGACGGACCCGAGGTCAAACAGAGGGTTAAGCATATGCATGTAAAGGTATGTTCAGATATATTACAATGGGGTATTACATGAAATCTCACTTGACCGTGTACTTTCGCCAGTCAATCGTTCATGATATGTTATTTCTGTCGGGTGAATTAATTCATCTGAAAAACGTTTCTCGAGAAGCATGTGATTGTGTACATGTGTCTGATACTGAAATATAGCTATTCAAACTTATTAAAAATTCATTAAACAAAGAAACTATGCTTGACAACGACATTAGAATCTATGTCGAAACGTCGCCTATACAGAATCAAGAAGCTGTATATCCATACAATTGTCCCTCTTTATGTTAAAAAGGTTACTAACAATATATTATTACGTTAACCAATTATTATATACGCGAGTTATCTTAATCAATGCCAGTGGTGACAACTGATAAATTTCTTTAAATAAAGTCAATTGAATTTCAGAGTTTATGCTATTGAATTGATCATATTTGGAAAGACCATTAGTGTTCATTCTGCTTCAAAGCGGTGTTTGTTTGTTTACCTGTTTTGCGGGGTTATTTCAGTTTCTTAAATTGTTTTCTTTTTTCTTCTTTGATTGGCATTCTAGAAGTTGAATAGATGAAGAATGAGGACTATTTTTATGGATATACAACTTCTTTATTCTGTATAGGCGACGTTTCGACACAGAGTCTAATGTCGTTGCTTGACAACGCCATTAGAATCCCGCATCACTTGCTTGACAACGCCATTAAAATAAATCTATGTGGAAACGTCGCCTATACAGAATATCCAGAATAATAGTCCTCATTCTTCTTTTGTTTTTGTTTTTTTCTTGCATTTCTGGTGTCCCCCGCCGTGATGTTGCTGGAATATTGCTAAAAGCGGCGTAAAACCAAACTCAGTCAGTCAGTCTTTTTTCTTGTGTGCTTGTAAGTGCAAGCATGAAACATAGGCAATGTTTAGGATGAAATTGCACTTAGCTTTCCTACTTTTGAGACCGTTACTACTTTTGGCATGCGCTTTCCTAAAACAGCAAAGAATGTATTGATCCATACTCGTTGGAATGTTACAGACAGGTAAATCTAGTTTAACTTTGTACTGCATTAACGACACATTGCCTATGATGCGCTTTTGCCACTGGAAACACCTACCACCATTGTTGGATATTTGCGCTTTGCGGAAAATTACAGGATTTAATGCATTTCTATCTATATCCACCTCTGAGGAGCAGGTGAAGCTCATAGACTTCACACTTCGGAAATCTGTTGGTGTTCCTACAGTCAACCCTGGTAGTTAGACTCGATATAGCGAGTTGTGTGGTCACGTTTGATGATGGTGTTGATGGCATGGCGAGAACCGTTTCTATCTATATCCACCTCTGAAGAGCAGGTGAAGCTCATAGACTTCACACTTCGGAAATCTGTTGGTGTTCCTACAGTCAACCCTGGTAGTTAGACTCGATATAGCGAGTTGTGTGGTCACGTTTGATGATAGTGTTGATGGCATGGCGAGAACCGTTGCTCTTAACACTCAGTGGGTTTCGGGTCCAGACGCGAATCTTAACAGACAGGTATCATAGAGCTGTAATATATCTGAGAGTGGTATTTTACAACACATAAACACACGCACGCGTGCTTGCATATACATGATGTGCTTCTACACTGTGGAATTGCAGGAGTGGGCTATTATTGAACAATTCATATAAGATTTTGTAAACATTAGCTGAGCATATTTCACATAGGTACGAATGTTGCTGTTCAATCAGAGTGTGATAGAAATTATATCATTGTTTAATCTTGTTTTCCAGAGTACTTAAATATTGACCGTATTTTTCTGCATTGTTTGTAGGTAATCAATGTTTAACGGGATTTGTTAAGTGGTCATTACTTTGTACATAAAATGTATTTGTACAAAATGTTTTCAATTAGTTTGTGTTTAATTAGTTGTGGAATTCGATTTGGGATATGATGTCATGTATCAAACGAGCCAGCGAGCCTGACCACCCGACCCCTTTAGTCCCCTCTTACGACAAGCATGTGTTCCTTGACCAGCCCGGATCTTCACAGTGCACGACAAGCATGTGTTGCTGAAGACCAGTTCTAACCCGGATCGTCACGGGTTGTGTGAGTGGTGATGACGGCAGAGGACAATGAAAACTGTACATGCGCACGTAAAATGCAAGTATAACCACAAGGGTGAATATGAAGAGGCTGTAAAATACATACTGAGTGTTTTAAAGCATTCTCAGACGCCAAGCGTCTTTTTGAGTGAGTGAGAGAGTTTAGTTTTACGCCGCTTTCACAATGTTCCAGCACTATCATGGCGGGGGACACCAGAAATAGGCTTCACATATTGTACCCATGTGGGGAATCGAACCCGGGCTTCGGCGTGACGAGCGAACGCTTTAACAACTAGGCTACCCTACCACCCCACAGCTTTTAAGTTCTTTTACACAGTTGCATTTGTTGTATCAATGATGCAGTTCATATTTTTCTTTGTTTCCATGTTTGCAATCTGGGGTGTAATTATTTTTTAAACCATTATACAAGTTTCCAGCGCATTGAGCATGCACTTGTTGCCTGGATATGTGAGCTATATCAATATCCTATAATAATTACATTCAAATAGATGCATAACATGAAATATATTTTTAACAAAATCTTTACGTATGAATAAGCTTCACGCAGTAAGTAACCATTGTGTTTGCATAATGTGTGAAGTGAACCAGTTTCATGTTTTAAGATACTAACTTACGTATTATACATTTGCATTGCATTATGACAGAACATCCCAGGTATTTTGGGGGTCTCCAGGTCAAACAACACGTCAGTAGCCCCGTCACCTTGTCACTCAAATCACTCTCTAGTACAATCCACAACATATCGACGTGCTGAGAACATTCAGTTGAGTGTACTCGACACTGACAGCCAACAGACAGTCCTTTGGTGTGCAGGCAGCGGCAGAAACGTCGATGGCGTGATCGGTAAGCCACGACTTTGAATTCACTATACCAAACGTTGTTCGTACTGAAAGCCGTATTTCTTGTACTTCCAAGATAGTAAATTGCAATTTAATGATACGTTAGTTTAAATACCAAATGGATGCTAACGCAACATGTATACTATACAAATACATAACAATACATAACAAGGGTTATAGTGAGATGGTGAACTATATGACAAAATAGAATGGCAATACAAATTCCAAGGTAATATAGTACAAGAGCGGTGATTATTACAATAAAGACAGTGATGGCAATATTCACCTCTCAGCAACAGCCATCTTAGTAAAATATGTGTGAAGTACTTATTTCAACTGGAAGACTTTGTAGACATTTCTGTCAATGTTTGAAAATTTACCGTTATTTTTGTTACAATTACAAGTATATACGGGAAACTTGTAGGATCATTTTTCTGTCTGTAATTATTTTCTTGATATTTCAAGATACATACTAAGTTAAAAAATTACCTTATCCTACAAGTTCCGCTTTTTTCCTGAAACTTGCAGATACTAAGTTGAAATTTTAAGGACAAATCAGAAAATAACAATTGGTCCGTCTTCGATGCAGTATAAATCTTCACTCGTCGGTGAACAAAAACAGTTCACTGTCACTGGTTAGGCCAATCACGTAATGACAAAATATCATGTGCCATTCCTCCATTCTCTTAGACTTGCCTGGCTACAATCTGGGCATGCTACTGTGCAGTGTTATCACAAGTGATGCAACCACTACAGAAATGGAACTCAAAACTCAGAACGGTGTCCAGCTTTGTGATGGCGTTTTACTAGTAAATCAATCTTGTCAGATACATCACTGAAATTTTGAGGCAATCTGTATTCAAACTGGGTGATGTATTTTTTATTTTTGATCATTTTTAAACTATAGTCCGTTTGATTTCACTTGTGATTGATGAAGTGCTCACTAACATCAAATCTAATAAATGCAACAAAATCAAACTGCACTGTCACATGAAATCGACAGACCAACTCTGATGATTTGCATAAAGTTGTTTAACAAACGATCATTAGTTTCCTTATATGGATGTAATTAGTAAATGTTAACATGTACATACAACAAGTAGCCTATAGACATTTCATGTTCGGGTACACATTCTTTATATGGATGTAATTAATAAATGTTAACATGTAAATACAACAAGTTGCCTATAGACATTTCATGTTCGGGTACACATTCTTTATATGGATGTAATTAATAAATGTTAACATGTAAATACAACAAGTTGCCTATAGACATTTCATGTTCGGGTACACATTCTTTATATGGATGTAATTAATAAATGTTAACATGTAAATACAACAAGTTAGCCTATAGACATATTCATCAAAGGGTACACATTCTTTATATGGATGTAATTAGATAAATGTTAACATGTAAAATACAACAAGTTGCCTATAGACATTTCATGTTCGGGTACACATTCTTTATATGGATGTAATTAATGTTAAATGTTAACATGTAAATACAACAAGTTGCCTATAGACATTTCATGTTCTTGGGTACACATTCTTTATATGGATGTAATTAGTAAATGTTAACATGTTGGAAATACAACAAGTCTGCCTATAGACATTCGCATATCATTTTTCTCTTTGTTGAACCAAGCGATGGATGGAATACATCCATAAATGTTAACACATTCTTTATATGGATGTAATTAGTAAATGTTAACATGTACATACAACAAGTAGCCTATAGACATTTTCGGGCACACATTCTTTATAAATGTTAGTACATGTACATACAACAAGTTGCCTATAGACATTTCATACACATTCTTTATATGGATGTAATTAGTAAATGGTACACATTCTTTATATGGATGGATGTAATTAATAAATGTTAACATGTACATACAACAAGTAGCCTATAGACATTTCATGTTCGGGTACACATTCTTTATATGGATGTAATTAATAAATGTTAACATGTACATACAACAAGTAGCCTATAGACATTTCATGTTCGGGTACACATTCTTTATATGGATGTAATTAATAAATGTTAACATGTACATACAACAAGTAGCCTATAGACATTTCATGTTCGGGTACACATTCTTTATATGGATGTAATTAATAAATGTTAACATGTACATACAACAAGTTGCCTATAGACATTTCATGTTCGGGTACACATTCTTTGCCGAAGTAGTATGATGATCTGGGGCGGTGGGATAGCCGAATAGTTAAAGCGTCTGCTCGTCACGCTGAAAGTCCGGGTTCGATTTCCCACATGGACACAATGTGTGAAGCCCATTTCTGGTGTTTCCCGCCGTGATATTGCTGGAATATCGGTAAAGGCGGTGTAAAACCATGCTCACTCACCAAACTCAGCCACCCTACCCACCCACCCCCTACAGCCACTACCCACCCCTACCCACTCACTTACTATCATGATCATCTGATGTACGAAATCGACCATTTTATTACAAAAAGAAGCTCAAATGCCACACCTTCCATGCATTTTCCATCCACACAGGCCGCCCACTTGGAGCTTTGTCACTTAACAACGATACAAGGTTGGGAACATAACGGTAAAGCCATCTTACAGGCCAAAGGAGTGTGTGAGCCCAACCAGGGTTGAATGCATCAGTATAGCATGACACCAAGACGCCATCGATAATCATATTCCCACCTAGGGTCACAGGAGCAAACAATCCTTTCTCAAGGACTGATTCAATGTGTATGACCCTCTGCCTAGATATGGATCCATCTGCACCGTGAACGATTATCAAGTCACCAGTTTGGACTGACCCTGCAGGAACTGCTGTCAGCAAATCAGTGAATATATGATGACCTGGCGATATTAGTATTGTATGCATGGATGTAGATAGCTTCACGAATTCAGAAACAGTGAGGTTATCCTGATGACTGAGCAGATAGACGCTATCAAAGAAGGCCTTCCCGTCAACTGATGCTGCTAGAATAGCCTCTCCTACAGCAACGTTGGATATAGGAATACGACCTCTTCGTCGAGATTGGACTAGAGCAGATGATGGGAAACACAATCCATGTTTTTCGTATTCTTGAACCAATTGTGGTAATGCATTAAGCTTACATGTGGTACTTGTATCGCTGCATTTGTGTTTACATATACCTTTGCCTGTTCGAACATATAGTTGGAGTATAATTTTCCATTTTGTTTTTGTACCATATTATCTATTAACTTATGCAGATGCCCCGTCAGTTCTTTCTTGCGGTGAGTGTTCCAGTTGACGTTGAAAATGAGATATCGTTGGTCTGCTTTATCAATGTACTCACCCATTGATCCTTTTATGCTGCTTAAGAATATTTTAACACTTTCAGCTCTAACATCGTGAGTGAATATAAAAATTATATACTTGTATACATCTTTACCAAACACTGTTCCAAAAGCCGTAAGGGCATTCAGTTCTACAAACGAAGGCCGTTGAGTTAAACTGAATACCAGGACAATAGCATGGTATCCTTCGGGATGAAGCAATATGGCATCAGCAAAACTCTTTCTTGAAGCGTCTAAGTCTAACATGTTTATCATTGGCATGTTAACAATGGAAATAATTCGATCATCTACCTCGGCACTGGCCTCTTTCGTTTCTTCTAAATTAGGACCGAATTCCTCTCGATCAAGAATCGTGTTGGCTACAAGCTGTTTTGTCCGTTCCGTTTGTCCAAGCAGCAAAATATTTACCTTTTGTTTTGGAGACCTGTTCTTGTCATGACTGTTAAGGTCTTCCTGTAACAGGTTTATTTGTTTTTCAAACATGGCCCGCTCTTCCTCAAATGCTAATTGTACCTCCCGCGATCTTATCTCTTGTTCGGAACTGTCTTTTTCCAACATGGCTACTTTTTGTCTAAACGCTTCAATTTTATCTTGGAATAGTTTTTCTTCTCTTTGGTATTCATGTGACTGGTTCAGAAGAACCGCCTTCATTTCCTTATTTTAAGCAATAGACCACTCTTTTCGGAAGCACATTCTGCTTCCCTTTGGCTAAAACTATGCTGCTGCTTTTTGGATTGTGATTTGCATTGGTCAAGTCTTTGGTGCAATATGTTGATTTCCTTATCTTGCACTGTTAATTGTTTCACTTGAATCTCGCTTTCTCTTTTATTTTCAGAACGTGTCTGTTCTAATTCTTTTTCATACTTCGTAATAATCATTTTCATGTCTGTCAAGTGTTCCATAGCTTCATCTTTATCCGTCAGTGTTTTGTCAAGTCTTTCTTTGTAGTCTATCAAGGTTGCAAGTAAGTCCTTAACTTGAACATCTTCTTGAGGTGTAATCAATATCTGAAAGAATGCAAAATTACACATTTCCTGATATGACCTTATCTCGGTCTCGAACCTTAACAAGAGCGGTGGGATGGCCTAGTGGTAAAAGCCTATTCCAGGTGTCTCCCTCTGTGTTATTGCTGGAACATTGCGAGAGAATAGTGTAAAACCAGACGCACTCACCCGTGTTGTACATGGCGGAGAGGGGTCTGTCGGTGGTGTGTGTGTGTGTGTGTGTGTGTGTGTGTGTGTGTGTGTGTTTGTGTGACCTCATTTTGTACACGAGGATAGATATCAATAGATAGGCACCTCACGTGACCCATAATCTGGTTGTGAGAGCGTTATCAATAGCTAATGTATCGTTATCCTATCCCTCCTCCGATAGATCATTTATGATTTATTGACAAGAAGTTTAACCTAAAATGACATGAGTTTGAGTGAGCATAGTACGCCGCACTCAGCAATATTCTATAGCTGACATGAAAATAATGTAACATAGACTCCACAGTCTGTGACTCACCCTTAGCTACAAATATACATCCACATCAGGGCACCTCTTTTAAGTACTCCTACCAGGGTGAAATACGGACAGTCTGGAGACCATTAATCATGCTCGACCCAAGGTATCATCATCTACTTCCCAGTTCTACAGAACCTCAAAACTTGCAAGCGCCCATTCTGATTAAGTACACACATCCTGACTGGGCCATTTGACTTGTAATTTTCTGTACATCATGAAACCATGTTCTGTTTGCTGTCTGTCACATACACATCACCTCCCAAGTCCGAATGACAACATGGATCCTCTAAATCTGTCAGTTGCTTCTCAATTTGGTGTGGAGTCTTAATACCCACCAATTTCATGGATTCTGCCTCTCCACATTCCTCCAAATCTTTGCAGAATAGGGTGAAAGCTTTTGGCCCTCACCTGGGGAGGGTATCTAATAAGGCTCTGGAACGGTCATAAGATAAAACTTCTTTCTCCTACATATAATATATAACTGAACATGAGTGTAACTACTAGGGATGGGATAAAAAAAGTTCCTATGACAGTGATGTTAAACACCACAGCGAAAAAACATACCATATTATCTGCCTTGTGTTCTCTTGCCCACCTTATTCTATAAACAGCCAGTGGGGAAACCCTGTTCTAAAACTAGAGCATGACTCATATCTAAAACTAGGCTGATTTCTATGGGCAAAGTCTAAAAATAGACGCATTATACATTAACAATAATACCCCACAATAGATATGTTAATGTAGGTACACACCTGCCAAATGAGGTCAATCTGACCCAAACATTATGATCGGCTCCATGTTACAGACCAAATTGTAAGTGCAAATATAACATAATCACCAAGTATAGTTTTTAAAGTAATATTGACCAATCATATGATTATCTTATCAGTTGTCAAACACTAATAAGAATCACATGACATTCACCTATTTCTGTTGTCACCTCACCCCACCCCACCTCACCCCACCCCATCACCTTTACAACACAACCGACCCTTAATTATGGCAGCCTCTGTCCTTGACAGACACTTGAAAGTTTGAAGAAAAAATATACCTACATGGCGTCTACTCTATTGACGGTCATTCTTCCACATTGATTGTCAAATTGTTACCCTAACCATTCCACTTAGCTATCACACCCAGTCACTCTGTAGACAGTGGGCTTACTTTCTCTAGCGAAGCCTATTTACTGATCTGTTAAGCTATCGATCTGACCGTGTGAAATCATATAATATTACTGAGTGAGTTTAGTTTTACGCCGCACTCAACTGACAGCAATATTCCAGCTAAATGGTGACGGTCTGTAAATAATCGAGTCTGGACCAGACAATCCAGTGATAAGCAGCCTGGGTGTATGTGTTACTCACATGTACAGTATACATCTCATAATCACCGTCGCACCTGTTGATAATTAATAGGGGCCTGTATAAGGTCAAAATCTATTTTAGAATAGGCCCCTGGTAACAGGCTATATTTAGACTATAGCTATGGGGCTTTATGGGGTCAAAATCTATTTTAGAATAGGCCTTTTATAGGTCAAAATCTATTTTCAGACCATGAGTTATGTTTCTATTTTAGACACGGCTGTGTAATATAAGGTCCCTCCGAACAGTCCTCCATATCATTCTGACTTCAGTCGGATTAACGTCCCTTCTCCATTCTATGTTCTTGACTCTACTGGTTCAATTGGCTGTTTACCTCGAAAATGGAAGCCGTTCAGCGTGATATTCTCAGTTGTGATAACGAGACCTGGTAGGACTTCCAAATTCCAGATGTCATTTAAATCTAGGGGACGACGCCTATGTGACAGCCAAGACATGGAATGGAGAACTAGAAATTCATGTGAGGAAGTACGAAGTATACCCGAGTGGCAAGTGCAGGGATTGTGTTGAGTTTGAAACACTGGCTGGAAGTGTCTAGTGTCTGAAACAGCAGGGAAGGGTACTCACACGTCCATGTTGGAGGGAACATGTACGCTTCCTGGGACGACAATGGTATTGATGTGCGACAGTGGGAGAATGATCAGAAAAGTGGTAGAGTGATACCTACCAACCAATGTATTCTGTTGTCCCTAGATCAGTGGGAAAAGCTGGTAGATTGTGTAAGAGTCATGTTTGACTTTGTGCCAGAACTGAAGGACATGGTACCCTGTATGCTTCAGGACGATCATCAAAACCAGGTGGGATACAGTCACTGGGTGTAAAGCGATTCTTGGTTTAGACGCTGTACTGTGCGGACGTGTTACCACTGCTCTGGGATATCATGGATGTGTGTGGACATTACCCACTTGACAACACTGTTGCTGCCGATTGCTGTGCAATCAAGACTGAATGGACTTCATTCCAGAAAAGACTCGATTCGTTTAAAGACTGGCCAGTGCAGATGGAAACAGAGTCCCGGTCACATGGCTCAGGCAGGATTTGTGTACTTTAATCAGAGGGGGCGCTTGCAAGTGTTTTCTAATGTGGTCTCGTTCTCAAGAACTGGGAAGTAGATGAAGATCCCTGGGTCGAACATGAAAAATGGTCTCCAGATTGTCCATATTTGGCCCTGGTGGGAGTAAACCTCAGAAAGAGGTGGCCCGCTTGGGTAGTCAAGTGTGGATTTGCAACCAAATGTGTGACTATTGGAAATAAATCAATGTTAAGAGTATGTCTGCCTTGGTAGTCTATGTATAGTATAAATAGAGGTTTACTCAAATACTTATCTCATTGAGATCCCAACCACGATAAGAGTTTGTTTGCCAGAAATAGTATGGCTAGGTACGTGTTGAAACATTACGAATTTTAAGGTTCATGTTAACAGATTCTTGCCATCAATGGTATAATCAATAGGTTATTAAAGGGAAGATTACCAGTGACTCGATATGAAAGACGTCGTTTCCTGAAGAAAAATGATAGAAATAACTATCTAGCGGTGTTACGAAGATTGGTTCACCCCCTGTGGACAACAGACAGTATGTGGAAGAGTTTATTTGCCAGTAACATGCCAATCGTAGCACTTGTTTTGAAACCACAGTTTGTCAATGCACTTTAGAGATGAGGCCATTCAAAATGCCTGGTTGTTAGATAAAGCATTGGCTTAGTATGTTTGGTACACTCCGGTTTAGTTTGTCATAGTAGTGCATCCAAAACATCCTGGCAGTGATGTTGAAAGCTACACCAAGCCCAAGGTCAATGAAGATATCTATGTAACAGGTCACAAGGGCTATCTAACATCATTTAGGCGTGGACCAGTGACAGTGATGTATCACCTCAAGCCACTCCTGTTTTCATCATTAAAAATCTACAATACAAACTCTTCGTACCTCATGCCGAAAATGGACACGCTTTTACATGCTCAGGGCTGAAGGGAAAGGAGATCCGTATCATTCTATAAGGCGTGGAGGAGAAAAATCTGCCATGATGTCTGTCGATCGATATTTGGAACTGTATGAACCAGAGTGGAAGAAAGATAAACCAAAAGAAACCACGGAGCAACCTAAGATTAATTTTGTTACCCCTACTCAACAAGTGGTCGAACAAGCTAAAAGCCAAGTTGAAGAGAGAAAGGGAAAGTGTCGTCAATAGGGAAAACACAATGGAAGCAGTGTCAACAAAGCGAATGAAAACATATTTTTTAAATAGAGACGAAAGGCTAAATGTGTCATTTGTAGTAGGACTGTTGACGTGTGAACATCATTATGCATCCCTGTCCCGTATGCTCCAAACAATATGTTTGGGCTCATGACTTGTCCCGTCATATTCGAACAAAACATCCAAAAGATATCAAGCAGCAGCAGCAGCAGCAGCAGCAGCAGCATTTCTGGACCCCAGTGTTGTGAACGTGGTTATCCTCGATGACTTAATGTCTACTGCCAGCAAAGACCCATGCATTACAGATCTGTTTGCGGAAGGAAGTCATCATCGTAATCTCTCAGTGATTGCCTTGAACCAGAATTTATATTTCAGTAAGGATCCCACACAATGAAGAAACTGTCATTATCTGCTTCTGTTCAACAACCCTATCAATCAACAACCCATCATGACTTTGGCGAGGCAAATGTATCCAGGTAACACAGACCATTTCATGGAGCCATTTCAAAGGGCTACCCAGAAGCCTTATGGCTACTTATTGGTTGATCTAAAACCCAAACACCTCCCCATATGCGCCGTTGTCCCAATGCATGCAGTTTAAAAAGGAGACCTCCAATCCAGAACAATTCAGTCCGAGTTAGATGTTCAGCGTGAGCAGACGTGTAGAAGAAAACCTGTCAACCATGCCATCTTGTGATGACTGTGGACTCATGTTTCAAGACGTGCAAGATTTGCAAAAACACAGAAGAAACTGGTGTCCCGAAAAGTCTTCAGTGGGTCCTCCTGGGATATCCCAAGTGAAAAGGCAGTGGGAGGGATGACAACAACTTCTCACCTGTGAAGAGACCTCGTCCTCTGGTGGACTGTGACTATTGTGGTCAAGTGTTTAGCACTAACCATAACTTACAAAGACATTTACACGATAA